CAACGACTTTTTAGTCGTAGCGCCATCTATGAGAAATCTATGACTGACCGGATCGAAGGAATTTTTTCTGAGTGTTTTTTCTGAGTGTTCGATCTTTGTATTAATAATTACAATAATTTAATTTTAGTAGTCATCATTTTAGATTCACATTTCAGCATCATTATGCTAAATTACTTTAATAATATATTTAAGCAAGAGGTTTATGACTTTGAAGCAAGTCTCATAAACCTCTTGCTTAAATATATTAAAAAAAAAAACAGTAAAAGCAATGAAAAATGCGTACAAGGTTTTTTATGGTCGAGTGGCTCGCATACCGGTTTTCATAGTGTAACCATCTCTGAGGTTCCGGGTTCTATCCCCGACCGGGAAATGTAGAACTAAATTTTCTATATTGTCTCGGATCTGGGTGTTTGTGGTATCGTCGTTGTTTTACACAAGTGCTTTATTTACTTACTTTGAGATAGAGCAAAGTATGTGGTGTTGTCTAATATTTATTATTTATTTCTCGGTAAAGCGATATATAAAAAAAACATTTATTAATGACACGGAAATAACTTTTTTTTCGGAAATAAATCGCTTAGATTTAATCAAAGAAAAGTTTCGGGCTTTTTACGTATGTAAATTCATCATTCATTTATTTCCGATGTTAAACTGTATTCTATTTTATTCTACATTTTTGTCGTGTAACTAGTAATTACTTTACTATAGTCTGTGGTTGCGTATTTGAAAAAAAAAACCTATGTTTCGGTCTCTTTCAAAGTCCCATATGTTCCAGTCAGCTGTGACCATAGGACTTACAAAGAGCCTGAAATTTTGGTTTGCTTGAAAAAACAAATATACACGATTAGTCTCATCTCCGACGACCCGTATATACTCGTATATGTAGTATATCACCCATATACACGATGTATTAATCGTTAAGTGTGCCCAGGCGATTATTCCATAAATATATAAGAGATATCAAAAAGCTTTAAACTGATATCGAAAGTACGTTACCTTAGAGTAAATCGACATCTTTTGTTGACCTTTAGTTGATTTTAGTTGACCCACTTTAAGAGGTAACAATAAGTTTATAGATAACAAAACTGCTATAAATAAAGTAATAACACTATCTTTTAATTGGATAACGGCATAGTCAATTATTTGGTCAAGTGTGAGTTGTCCATAAAAATAAATAAAATTACTGAATTTTTTTAGTGCTGATCGACTCAGTTTCATATCGGGATCATTTCATTGCATGGGACGAATAAAATCGGGACAATAGAAGTGGGTCAAATGTAATAAAAAACTTTTTCATACAAAATGAATAACTTTTTCGAAATGACGCTTTCGTCCTTTCTACAAAACTCCGACGACATGTCCCAGACAGTCGTGACCGTGGGACCTACAAAGAGACCCAAAAAACAAACTTACGCAAATTACAAACCAAAAACAGTCTCATTTTCAAAATGTAACAATCACAATAACCTAAGACCTCTATATACATATGTATATGAGTCAATAAACATTTTTACCGACACTGTGGTGAAGGTATAAAAATTAATAAAAAAAGGCATTTGATAATCCTAATCTGAACCGATATTACGCTAATCACAGTGTCCCAATTTTATATCATAAGATGTGCAGTGACATTTATTTTTTTGTGTTCATGTAAAGAAAAATTCCCTTGTTCTATGTATGCGTTACCTGATACATTTACGGCCTTTTATTTATTTAATGAGCATTGGTTATGTAGAGCCAAGCTTAAAAAGATAAACATATAATTAAAAATATGAAGTATAAGAAATTAAAAGTTAATTTGTTTAAAAACTAAGAATACTAACCCGCTATTTTTTTCTTTCAGTACTTTTTATATTTGTTTCATGACCTTGGATTCAAGTCGTTCTGTGATACATGATACCAATTTTTTTTTGTACAATCCTGTCTCAATAATTGTTGGATTTACAGCTCAAAAGTGCACTGACAACAATAATCAGATTTTTCCTTAGAGGATGGAGAAAAAGGATTTTTCGATCATAAAAAGTTATGACATTTATAATCTGCCTTCGAGACTCAACTGACATTTTTACTAAATTTGAAATTAAAAATAAAATTTCTGATATTCAGTAAGCTCAAATTCAACAATAAACTGATTCAATAATCAGATTTTCTATCATAAAAAGTCATATTTGACTTAAAAAAATAAGTTAAATTGACTCACTTGATTATCTCACAAAAATTTTACCTAATACATCGTTGACTTGCAAATAAATTATATTTATTTATAAGATATTTTGATTATAACAAATATTTTGTAAGCTGCATATAAATATGTTTAATTTATCACTATCATGATTAAGGACACTAATATCAAAGGATTTTAGTAGGTAATGTACGGAACTAGCCCATCATTATTATAATTCAAAATTCAATAATCAAATTTTTCTACCAAATTTGACGTTTATTAAGTTAAATGAATGTACGTAACTGTGCCCTTATTATGCAGTTTAATTACAATAATTAGTTTATAAATAACACAAAAAAGGCTAATCGAATACAATTATTGTGCCCTTTAGTTCTATAAGTCTAGTTTTAAATTAGAAAGTCACATTTTTTTCATCAAGTTCCGCCATTCACACGCAGTGATTATATTTTACTCGGAGGTACTCGGAATTTATGTGTGAAATTTAATCTCAAATTTATCTCGACCTTTTCAATGAAGGAAAACATCATGATTGAATCTACACGTTGAAGAAGGTTCACAGCTCTTGGAAAACGTGTGAAGTCACCACACCGCGTGGCGAACTATGGCCTAAAATCCTCGCCTGTCCATCAGTGGGACGTATAAAAGGGTTGATTACAATTCCTTTTCTCAGAAAAACCTACAACATTTTAAACTCATTTCTGAATTTGCTGCTTGTGCCTTCATTTCTTCCAAGGGCATAATAAATCTCTTATCATAAGAATATACTTACGTTGTGATTGTGGTGGCTCGGCCGCGGGGGGCGCTTGCGCATTGGCCGCGCCCTGCATGGCCCGCGACGACCGCCCGCGTTTGCGTCTGCAACAAATGCACAATCATTATTTTATTGCCGCTACTGAACACTGGACGCAGCTCAATTCAAATGACTTAACTTGTCTTATGAATAGGAATCATGTAGGTAATTTTCAGGTAAGTTTTTGTTCTGGCAATTCGGTGGTAATTTTTATATTTTAAATATTCCACAATATTATCACGAAGCGTTTAATATTCGAGTGTAGTAACCTGCAACATTTAATATTTCACGATAACATATTCGAATACTTAAATAGTAAAAATTGCCACCGAAATTAGATAGAGAGAGTAAACCTGGAAATTACCCATGAACTTTACCGAAACGCAAGTTTCTACGGTTTATATTTAACTAAGGTACGTAATACATCTTTAATGTGGTTTTGTAGAAGCAAGCTATTAGTCACCAGTGTCGTCCCGATAAGATACAGGCAGTTCATCCACTCGTGCGCATCGACTGTGGTATTGCAATAGTGTATAGCGTGATCTAATAAATAACGAATGCGGAACGTTCAGTAAACTTTTTCCATCATTTTAGGGTTCCACGGAGTAAATATTGAACCTTTTTTTTTTTAAGTTATAACTTTTTTGTTATCTGCGCTTGCAACTGCGCCCGTCACCCTGAGACATAAGTTGACAAGTACCATGCGCCTGTAAGTCATCAACACCTTTATCCTCCAAAACCGAAACGCAGTAATGTAAGCATTACATTGGCGGCAGAAATGGATAAGGTGAACATGAAGCTTTACTACTAACAAAACTAAAAAACTACGGAATTCGGTTCGAGAGTAGGTCCGCTGGACCGATTTACAAAAGTGCGTTTTCCAATTTGAAAACGTACTTTTGTAAATCGGTCCAGGGGCCCTTTTGGGAATCTCATCCGGACCGAGTCAACAAGGTCGGCAATAATTCCATAATACAACGAAATTGACCCTAGCTGCATCTCAGGATGTGAGGAACTGTCAAAGCGAAAATACGTTACGCAGAACCGTAACGTAATGAACTTAGTAGCAGTAGAGCTCCTTGTGAAAGAGTTCGTCCAGTGAAGTACTGCCACCTTGCCTATTTCTGCCACCAAGCAGTAATGTCAGCATTACCGTGTTCCGGTTTTGAAGGGTAAAGGTGCTGGTGGAACGGTACGGTATGGAATATGGTACTGGCAGAAAACCAGCACTGTTTGACTTCTCTTCTACAGTCTACAGTATTTATGCTGAGTCAGGGCTATTTCAGCAAAAACTGTAGTCATAGGTACATTACAATTTTATCAGTTCTTATAGTAATTGTTCGTTTTTCTCACAGTATGTGTTTTATATAAATGTGTATTAAATTAATAATGTTCTATGTGCTTTTATGTTATTCTCTGTGAAGTGATTGTAAATGTTTTGTTTCTGTTTGTATTTGTGCTGAATAAACGTATTATCTATCTATCTAAATCTCGTTTCGCATTCCATATTTTAATACCTCAATCTCGCTAAACATGTCAGTTACATTAGTTATTATAAGGAGGACTGCACTTGGGTATGATTCTGACACCTAAAAATCATTCAAAGAATTTTCCAGTAGCACAAAAAGAAAAGCGATATAACATACGGAACCAACTAAAAAGAAACTTACAAAGCAACTTAACTACAAGTGAATTCAGCTCATCGTAATGTTTTTAATTTCACTCTCGTTTAAGCAACATTACTTAATTACCGGCATTAAGTTATCAGCGGTGTAAGTTATAATGTCGTGTGAATTTTTATAATTGTGAGGCGATTAAGTGTCGCTTATGTAAAGTATGTAATAAATAAGATATTCCGATTTCAATAAAACTTGGCAAATAGATGCGATTCCAAGAACTTTTCTGGTCGATTTTTTAGTACTCTCCACTCTTTTATTTTTAGTCTTTTGTTTCCTTGAATCTAAGTTATATTGATTGTAGTTATTCGAATAATAATTAATATTTATTAGTATTACTAATGAATTCGTATTGTTAAAATAATTCTAAAATTGTATTTAGCGAAAATTGGAACGCTCTTTGGTAAATTGATAATAAGATGTTAAATTAAACTAATAACTTTTGTAACTATAGTGGGGTGGTTTGCATTAAATGTTATGCATAACTGGTTGACATTGACCTACCAAGTCAATGCTGGTGGATAACTTCACCATGAAACCCGAAAATGAAATCGAAACTGAAACCTTTGAGCGCACAGTTAGAGATGAAAAAAACTGCTTATTCATTTTAAACGTTGTACTGTAACACCACGTATAAGAAATATTAGTAACCTCGCCTTGCCGCTAGATGGAGTTGGGATCAAAATAGAAGGCGCTATCGAAGCCTTCACTAAATTACCATATAAGCTGTTAAAAGAAAATTGCTTTGTATCGAATCATAGGGCCTATGAGTGGCATTCCAGTACTTCCTCCGGGTGGGATACTTGCATGAAAGCTCATAGAATCGTCGTTCTTGATTGTCGGCTACCGCTACCACCAGGTGGGACGGCCACCTAACATCGATGATGAGAGCGATTACGTCTCCTATGTCGATCATACAACTACGTCAATAAAAGTCGTTGCGCATTGGAGATTCAAGCGTCTTTCTTCACCCTTCCTCGTTTCGTACACCTATTAGAATTGACGCTCCAACTAGTGGCCTTGATCGATGCAGCTAACAGTGACAGTCGAGAGCAGAATCCTGACAAAGAAGGATAAGTGAGGAGGATTGTAACAAGAAGACGACAGACGCAGTTTCGAAGAACCCCCGCCGAAAAAGTCGACCCCTCCGAAGGGCCCCCTCAAACCCGCTGACACGGGTTTGAGACGACCACGGAACGCTTTGTATTAAATCATAGGGCCTGAGTGGCATTCCAGTACTTCCACCGAGTGGGATACTTGGATGAAAGCTCATAGAATCTTCATTCAGATCAGGTGAGACGGTGAGCCGATATCGAGGATAAGCGCGATTACGTCTCCTATGTCGATCATACAACAACGTCAATAAAAGCCGTTGCGCATTTGGAGATTCAAGTGTCGTTCTCCAGCCTTCCTCGCTTCGAGTACCTATTACAGTACTTTTTAAATAAGCGTGTTCATAAAAGCGCTTTCACTTAAACGGTTTTTAGATTGAAGATCGTTTGGAAAAATGTTTAAATGCATATTAAGTAAAAAAGATCTTGCAGCATTGTGTTGATAACGAAAACTTTGAGACGCAATAAACTGCTTATTAATTTGAAACGTTTTACTTTTTTAAATAAGCGTATTTATAAAAGCGCTTTTCACTTAAAATCTTTTTAGTTTGAAGATCGTTTAGAAAAATGTTTAAGGCATAGACTACAGGTTAAAAAAAGGCTTGCAACATAGACCACTAAATTGACGAATTAACTTGTTATGGAAACATAGATAGCGGGACGTGTGATACTTATGTGCGTTGTAAATGAAATTGTTGAATGAAACTGAGCAAAGCTTGCGCTTAAAATAATAAGCGTGTCTACGTGCTTAAATTAAAAAGAAAAGTTTCCTTTAAATTCTTTTCGTTTAAAAGATACATGGACTGATATAGTACGGTACAGTCACTTCAAAAGAAAATGATATTTTTTTGTATTATTATTCGATTTCCCATTGTTTGTTCCACCGTCTGTACCAGAATGTATATACATACAAGGTTTGTTGTTGTGAAGAGCAGTATTATTATAAAACCTATATTTGCTCTAAATAAACACAAAGATATTGAGTCATAGTCCCTGCACCTTATCAGGTCCAGTGTTCATCGTTGATTGGTTAGAAATGAGGGTACTCTTTTAGGGTTGCCATGGTTTTACAGGATTGTGGGATTTCCCAAACAAGTGTACATTTTTTTATAGTTTTAAGCGTAATCATTTCATATACTTAAAAACACGTGTTATAATAATAATGTTTGGCCGGGTATAGTGTAACTATCCTTATTTTTTGATTGTCAGCTTCATTCTAGACAAAATGTATTCGTAAACTAATGATTAAAAATTAAAGAATAAAGATTAAACATCGGAGAATTGTTCATATAAAAATTGTGCTTGCTTAATAAACGGTCTATTTATAGAAGTGCAAAGGGTTAACGTTAGAAACGTTCTTTTATTTGTTATACCAAATGGCGGGACGAACAATTCGTGCGCCTGGTGGTAAGCGGCACGCCTACCCATAACAGTTGCATGCCACTCAGAGCTTTAAATCGCAAAGACCTTAGGGGCACTGCCACTGGACGCGCCCGTCACCCTGAGACATAATGACAAGTTCCACGTGCCTGTAATTTCACCTTACCCTTCCAGTACGTTACTACTTCCCTGGACGGACTCTTTCACAAGGAGCTCTGCTGCTGATAAAGTTCATCAGTCATTTAGTTTAAACATTGTGGCTGGATTCTTTATAATTCTACTTAAATGCCGTTTTACCAATTTCAAAGCGAATTACTATAGAGAAGTAAATTCCTCAAAAAACAAAATGTACGGTCACAATAATAATGAGCGCGTGCGGCGGCCTATTATAGCGCAGACAATGCGTGCTAATAACCTGCGCCTGAGTCGATGGTATGCAGCCCGCTTTACGCCTGTGATCGTATTATCAAACGTCTTTAAAGATAGATAAGTTACTTTTAAACCTTGAAACAACTAATATAATTATCAAGAACTTTCTTGAACATTCCATAACTTGGCGGATTTTACTGGTCAGTTTTAGTGGCCTTGCTCTTGTTTCTTTTTGCCATGGAAGTCAAATTGTTTGACCTACAGCCTCTTAAGCAAAGGCCCTGGTTTCTGAGAGGAGACCCGTGCCCAACAGTGGGACGTATAAATGGGTTGATGATGATGTTTATTCTATTCGGAACAACACGTTCTGAGTGTCTCGGCAAGCAGCGAACGTACAAAATAAACCGAGCTTCATATTCTCAAACAGTAAAATTGGATTTTTCGCACAGAAGCTCCGATGCTACGTTCACACGAGTTTGGTACATTGTACTAAAGATTTCCTATAATCATGCTAACTGGTCTCCTTTTTCGCAAATGTGGCTAACTGAGGCAAAGGAAACCGCTCTGGCGGCCTCCTTTCATGTAGTACGTGGAAAGTGAGAACTGTTATATGATATTGAATATTATCTTGGCTTCGATAAGCGCTATTGAGACAGAAATGCTATGTTTTGTGATTTTATGACTTCATCCTATTTAGTCATATCCTTTTAAGGTTTTTTTATAGGTCGCTAGAAAATGCTGCGCGATTACATTACACCGGAAACGCGATATAATAAATTGATTCAGCGAGACTAAGTGATAAAATGTCGTTATTTACCAATAAGCACCTTATTTCTATTTCCTTTTGGACGACTTCGGCTGTTTTTATTAAGGCGTCCTAAATAATCTAATCAGGCAGTAATTTTTAGTGTCAATTAAATAATTAGATACAGGAATTCCCCTACGAAAAATATTATTTTTTATTCTAGACTAATCTTTTAGATTTAAAATTGCGATTGCAACAAACAGTTTGCGTCAATCGAGTAACACTGTTAACTATTTATTCATTATTTTATCATTACGGATTTCACCTGTTATCAAATGATACGTGATCCGAGGGTCATCTCCTTTTTTATTTATAATTATGTCTAAGGCGTAGACTGGGTAGGTATTTCATTAATTCTTTTAGAGGTTAAAAAGTTCGATTTTTAAGTTAGAGAATGATAAGATTTCTTCTACAGGCAACACGAACGTTATTAAAAATAATATACGTAATATATTTCTTCAATTTAAAAAGTGGCAGAATAAAACTGATTCCAATGCCTTTAAAAAGTGGTGCAACGTTAAGGGCATTACACACTTTGCGGCTGTTATCACAAAATCCGTGACAAAATTGCTTTTATCATCTCAAAATGAAGTGGTAATTGTATGATAGTGGTTTCCCCAGAACACTCGAGATAAGTGTTAATGTCTCAATAAGATGAAACTGAGATGTTGTCATTGTGTATTGCAAGGTGATAAACGATAACGATTGTACTTCATTGAACATTGTACTTCGTGAAAATGATCGGATAACCAATGAGTACTTTTAACATGCATTCAATGTCCTATAAAATTATATTTCAGTGGTTCTAAAGTTATTTAGAGAAAGATTTCTAAATTAGCTTAGTTTAGTGATTATGATTAACTGTTCATTACGCTTAATTAGCGTTATGCATTATATTATGCGTAATGAGCGTCACTTCATAACTTGTGTCAAAGTAATCTTAACATAAGTATATAGTAGTACCTAACATAAGCAAAGTATAGGACATTGCATCCGTTATCACAAATCTGTCATGATTCCCTTTTAATTTATGCAATGAATGGGCTATAAAAAGCAGGAACATTATAAATTGACATTCCTATAAGAATCTATTTAAAAGTGAGTAGAGTGATAAATCTTTAAGCATTTTTTGGGCGTGGTACACAAATTCATTTAGTTTAACACACCTCTAAACATTCGAACAACTTTTCTAATATCGAATTCTAAATTTTTCGCGATTCTTACAAATAGGAAAAGATAATTTTTTTTCGAATTTGACTAATTATTTTTCAGACAAACTAACGTTTAGTCGGCCGTGAACATGGGACATGTGAAGGGTTCGAAAAGTCGGTTTCATTGTTTTTTTTTTCTAATTTTACAAAATTTAAATAAACTTTTACAGATTGATTTTATTTAACCCATGGGTGCATCACTGCCAAGTGATATTATAAAAAAACCTGGTTTAGTCTGTTGAAATACATGTGAGTGAATGTACAATATGTACAATATAATGTTTTGCCGGACACAGTGAAAGTATCTTATTTTATATGTGACAGCTTCTATATTCAATCATTCATTTCACAAATAAATGAATTATGAGTCATGAATTTACAACATTAAAGGATTTAACTCACAATTTTGATTAATCGTGTATTATACGTAATTAATGTCTAGATAATAAACGTCTATTCTGAAGGAAGTCGAAAATATAAAATTCTGAATTGAGTAAATAACCTTTCTCTTCAAAATAGGTACATCCATTTGCGCTAAAGGGTGCGACATGTATGTATAATTAGTGGGTAACAGCCATCGCCAGTTTGCTCTCGTAAAATTATACCTCAAAAAATAGTGTCGTGCAAAATACACTAATAATTGAAATAACAAACTACATACCACAAAAGCCAAGTACTATCAGGGACCAGGTGTCAATGTAACTACGAATAATTTAATTACATCGTTTCCAACATTGTCGTTTTCACTACAAACAGCAAACGAGTATCAGTATTAAATGGTTTAAGATTAGTAATATTTATATAACCCGTCGAATAAATTTGCAGCAACAGTGTGAGCATTGCCTAAATAATCTTTTTTAGTCACTTAATTAGGCACTGTTCGATTGTCGTTCATGTTCTAACAGCGGAAAATGAAATCTCCGTTGCAAGAGTACAGAAAACAAACATGAATGTTGCCGTCATATTGTAGCTTGTTGAATCTTTGCACCACAATAGGTACCTTTTTGAAAGATATGCTGTTTCCTCGATTTTTCTTACTGAAGTAAACTTCCTGCTTTTTTAATAGACGAGAAAGAAAATTCTGTTTCACTTGTCAGCTAAAAAAATAGCTCAAATAAAGAATATTTGGATTATTTTAATTATACAATGGCGTGCGCACTAATTTTTAAAATCCTTTTTCGCTATCAGATTAATCTTATAAAATTCTTATTAGAACAAATAATATCAAAACTAAATTCTAATGCTATTAAATTTAAAAAGTCTTTCCTTTGTATTGTAATGGACAAAATCCTTAATTATGAAAATTAAAATCTTTAAAAATCCAATGATATTTTTTAAAAAGACAAGGATATAAAAAAATACAAGTAGCACTCAAAAAGAGTTTATTTAATTTTTTTTTTTCATTTTACGAAGAGCTCACAAAATTGTTTTAAAATTTGTATTTTGAATGTTATTCACGATTTTAGAAACTTAATTAGGTACGTTGGTTTATTTCCAAATTTTGCGATAAGAAAGGTGAAATTAGCAAAAAGAATACGGCTTACCCGACGGCCTTTTTTCAGCTGAAATTTTCCGACGCTGAAAAAACCTTTTTCTTCGCAATTTTTCTACATTCTTGAAATAATTGTTTCGAATAAAGATAAAAGCGTTAATATTTATAAAAAAAGTAATTTATGACATTTGGTTTTTAAAAAGCTTTTTCATATTGAAAGAAAGATTGAAAATTTAGATTTAATCTTTAAGCTTAAATAAAAAAATACATAATTTAGGTTCCTCAAAATATCTTAACCTGCAGTCTATTTGTATTACGTGATTAAGGTAATTTTCATTCGTAAAAAATGTTTAAAAAGAAATATAAATCGTTCATAATTTAGAGAACTACATATTTTAATATATTGCAAATAAAACTAATTATATACTAACCATACAAAATCAAAAACATAATTTTACAGGAAGATGAATTTCAGTTCAAGTTTTCAGTTCGAGAATGCTGACAAAGCAAACATTTGTAGATCTTTATAAATTTTAATTCGGTTCAAAGAAAAAGTTTTAAAAAAGGAACATTTTACACATAAATTTCGCGATCGCATAGGTTCATTAAACTTTAAAACAATTGAAGATCGCGCAAACTTGGAACCAACTCGATTTTTGTTAAATACCTACCTATATACTTTGAAAAAAAAAGAAGGCACAGCGGCCGACGGGCGGCGATAAATTTGCATCGTAATCTAATCAAAATAGCACTCACCCAATCGTGGATAAATTTTCGCTATCAGTTGATGCCCGAAACAAAAAGAAAAGTCCAGTTGCACCAAACTTACAGTATTTCACTCTATATTAAACACAATTCAACGTCTTAGAAAATAGGAAACTTATGAAAAAATATATTATGATGATATGAACACTATTAAATAAACTGCTTGTTAAAATTCGGTCGTATTTTAAATCCAGGACGCATCTCCTGCGCCCGACGACCTCGCGCGACGAGATAGTGTCTCCTTGTGATGAGAATTGAGAGTACGCACTGTCGCTTGCTCTCGGGGGAGCAGAAGATGGCCGCCGATTGGTCGAGAGTGGCGGCCGGGCGCGCGGGGAGAAGGAGAGAGCGCATCTCTCGCGAGGAGTGAGTGAGCGGGACGGCTATCTTCGGCCGTTGCGTCGCGGCTACAGCGCCCGCCGTTCAGGTGGATCATCATTTCGGGAGCGTAATCATAATGTGGAGATGCCAATCGGAACGGTTCCGTCCTTTATCGCTACTTCGACGCTTATCTTGCGATTGGAAAATAATTATGATGACACTTTTGTTTTTCACAAAGGATACATTTTTACATTAAATCTTTAAAATGATTCTACCGAAAGCCTGGGAGTATCGTGGGCTTCATAAAATTAAACGTTTTATAAACTTACTTTATTCATTTTCCCAAAATCTAAAACAGGGCCGTATAAATACCACATAATATTGAGCTTTAATAAATCATTCAGCATTCGATATTCACTCATTAAGAAAAAATAAGTGACCGGTTTTAACAAGCTTCATAAACCCAATTTGTTTATTTTTCGTTAAGCCTAAAATTTTTAGGATTTCAACTCAAAACTTGCAGTATGATAATGATGATAATAGACCGCCACTTTGGCGCAACTGTTAGCAGTATGGGCGCTAGATGAAGAGTTCCTGGAGTCTGTGCCAGGTAGAACCCATTTGGAAAATAACTTTTTTAAGAGTTTTAGGTATTTCGACATCAGGTAATTAGTGTCGTTCTTGTTATTATTACCTGATTTAGACTATCGCCTCTCCTATGGCTTAAAAGAACATTACGACATTTAAAATGGGAGAGGTGATATTCCACTGCCATGTCACGGACAGGTCAAGGACTCAGGTTCAAAAACTGCGAAAAATACGTGCCATATCAAGAAGCAACACCGCTTTCTGCGTTTATGCTGGAAGCCACATGCCACTGAAATTCAACCGCCTCAGGTAGTTAGCGAGGCAGACTGAAATTAATCTCCTAGGACCCCGTCTATATTAAAATGTACATATGTGAAGTAATTCTGACCACGACACGACAATATTAAATTATTATCACTAATTACAATTTTTTTACCATGATATGAGTTTTTTATTTTCCCGAAATTTCGTGACTATGTCAACCCGTGACCATGGAGCGTGTAACTGTTTCCAAATAAAGATAATTCATACCAAGTGATAAAGAAACCTGTAACTATTGATAATAATTTAGTGAATAACCTCGAAAGCCTCAAAATTCAAACAATATTATTCCTACGATCACGTAAATTAAGTAATTAAGTACATTATAATGAAAAATTTAGCGCTATATAAATCTATACGACCATATATCTAGAAAGGTGCTTTAAAAAATCCTGTTTGCGTTTTTCATACAAAACTCTGGGCATACTTACTTGAGACTAAAGCGTATAATTATTTTTTGGGCGTTTAGAGCTTTTCCGATTGTAGTTTGCTGGGTCTAACGAGATTAACCTCTTTTGCGGACAAAACAATTGGGATTGTTTTTAATGGTGGCTATACCCCGCATGTGGGATATCTTATGCACCAGTTGGAAATACGTTCGATGTTTATTATTATTATGATATACCAGAATGTATGCAGTATTATTCTATTCTTTACTGAGTAGGTACCTACATCAGGAATCTAAATGTTATCTTACAACAATTTGAGTAATCAACTTCAACTAAAAATAATACAAATTATTGCAATGTATTTATTAAGAAATCGCAATTTCATCATTGAAAGACGATTTCTCAATCACACGGTGACAGGTGGATACCTACATACAATTCTAATGAATCATAGAAATACTTTAGCGTGTTAATAAAATTGGGCAAATTGATTTCTCGTTACATCAATTCTGAAACCTTATTAATTAATGAATCGGTTAGTCAAATAAGTTTTAAATGATTTAATTTATTTATGAGTTGGTAATTTGATAATTGCATGTTTGGAATACGTTGAAACACTGGGTCACTGAAGGCCACAGGCGAGATTTCGCCTTGTAGAAGCCTCTAGCAACTTAAAAGGCTGGCAGCTACTTCTACCAAAATAGAAGCTAAACCATCCCAATGGGAAACGTTACCTGCCTCTTGGGCACTATGCCCCAGGATACGACACTTGATGATTTTTTCTTCAATATTAAGCACTATATTATTTCTTGTATTGTGTGCCGTGTACATAATAATATATTGTATCGAGTTTGGTTGATCAATAAAGTGGTTTTTATTGTAAAATGGCGTAATCTTAGGGAAACCCTAAATCGCGAGGGCCATGGACACACAAATAGACAACCACAAATGACACCCAAACTCACGAGAGAAATACCTAAATGTAGGCCATATAAATATATCTGACCTCTTCTATTGTGACCTCTGCGTGGCAGTCCAGCATGGGAACCGTTTGGCCACAGAGGCAGTTTATCTTGCAACAACGTTTTCTTTTTACATATTTTTTATTTTTCTTTATTAATTTAAGCACTTTGGTACAATGTATATGTCAGTTCCATCGTAACCTCAACTGTAGCTTCATGTCTGGGCGGTGCTGCTGGAGAGTCGATTCAACAAATAGTACCTACCTAACAGTTTTTTGCCCGTTTCGTGAAGGGATTGCCTAGTATACAATTAATTTATAGCACCTACGAATGTTCGATTATGTGTGATTATGTTCGAAAGTGACTGTGCATTTTTCGCTACTCAGCATAACTCACAATTAGGAAACTTGTTTTTTTTCAATAAGAGCTTTTTAATGGAACGTGTCCGGTTCTCATCCTTAGCGCGATGACAACTTTTTTCATATAATCGTCGCATTCTGCAACGATTTCTTTATTAACTTCTTTTAAACTACTTTCGATAGTCAGTTTTATTCCAATACGTGACTTATAAGTTACTTTGTATATTTAGTAACAGTGGAGCACCTTGTGAAAGAGTTCGTCCAGGGAAGTATTGCTACCTTACCTATTTCTGCCGCCAAGCAGTAATGTGAGCATTACTGGGTTCTAGTTTTGAAGGGTAAGGGTGCTGGTGAAATTACAGGCACATGCGACTTGTCAACTTAAGTCTCAGGGTGACGGGCACAGTGGCTGTGCCCCTCATATCTTTGTGATTTAAAGCTCCGAGTGGCACTGCAACTGTTTTAGAAGGGCGTGTCGCCTACCACCAGGCGCACTACTAATAATTGCCAAAATGATAACCTACTGCCTATTATGTTAGAAGTGATGTATAGATCTTATTGCCTTTTGAAAGTACTGTACATGTCATCATCATCAACCCATTTACACGTCTCACTATTGGGCACGGTACTCCTCTCAGGTGAGGGTTTAGGCCATTGTTCGCCACACAACTTCACAGAGGATTGGGACCTTTCTTCGACGTGCAGGCTTCATTAAGATGTTTTCCTTCACCGAAAAGCTCTTAGTAAAGTTTAAATTAAATTTCACATATAAATTTCAGAGAAATTCAGAGATACAAATTAAAAAAATAAGTGAAGAACAATAACCCCGCACACACTCAACACAGCCCCGCACTAGGAAAACCCTGTGACAACCACAAATTACACCCAAACTCACGAGAGAAATAAATGTAGGCCATACAAATAGTTCTCCCGGCCAGGGAATCGAACCTGGGACCTCTGCGTCTGCAGGCCGGCATGGTAATCGTTCGGCCACGGAGGCAGTTCAATAAAAAATAGTTCTTAACAATCCTGCAATATAGCGCCACGAGCGTAATATAATATTTAAATCGATCATATCCCTTTCACATTAACGTCTTCTAACAAAAATATTAGGTCGAGCAATGTCAACGACACTCACCGCTACATTAGAGATCCCTTTGTTAAATATTTGCTTATTGATTATTAATATATTTAGTAACAATTATTAACTTGTGTGATAATAAACATTTAACTAGACCCCATCATCTCGTTCTCGTTACGTATTTGATTTGTTTGCTTGATTGCTTTTGCATCCGCATCTTTCCCAGTCCTGTAATCTTTTAACGTAAACGCATGTAGTTAATTAGTCAAAATGTGGGATCAATTCCGTAATGTGTAGTTATAGTTTTAACATAAATTAATTTTAGTTTAAGTATATTACGTTTCGAGTTTCTTAATTATTTGTTACCTTTTTAAGCTGATGGCTCCATAGCAACGCTCAGTAAATAAATAACAAAATTACGGAGTTTCAAAATGGCCGTCGTAAAGACAACGATTTGCCGCGAAAAAATGTCGGAAAGTGAAGTGATTGAAGAAAAATTAAAATGTAAGAGCTGGCATTATGGCCAAGTAAATGCCTTAGCTGGTCTCGAAGGACGGAAAATTTTATTACTACTACCGACTGCCACGTCACAGTTGCGCCATCGCAGCGCTTCTACAAGCGCTTAATTTGAAGGCGGCCTTAGAACAAATTCAAAATAAGAATCTATTTACAGTAGAGCAAGCACGACAGGGTGCGACTAGCGCGAGATACTGTTATTCTCGCATACAGATCTCGCTCTTTCTGTCGCTCTCGCTCAAGTCACGGCTTGTCGTGTTAGAGCGGTTACACACGACTTCCAGTCGACCTTTACAGACGCGCGCGATTTTAAGCAGCGATGCAAGCGCGCGTTTGCATCGCCGTATGTAACCACACTTAGCCCTACAGAAATAGGATCCTAAGAATTAAAATTTTTAAATTAAAATTTCTATGATATCTACATTGAACTTATTGAATGGAATGAAAAAGCAACACCAGATATTATATGTTGCCAGCCTTTGAGAGCTCTGTTTATTTTGCTTTTTAAAGATCTTATTTTTAAAAATCATGGCACGTTTCCACGTGTATTATTACTTATCTATACCAAACGGTTAAAAGAGCAAATCTCAACACGAACAGCGATATCGGTCAAGCCCGTTTAAGCAAACACGGCTCCCCTCTGTCAATACTCTGTACACGGTCAATGCTGCTTTACGGTGCCATATTTTGACACCTAATGTGTCTAACCTAAGTAGAAATTCAGCCCGATATTCAATGTTAAATGTTAATCGCGTACACAGAGAGGCAACTAATTTAAGTAACTATGACATTCGCGGTTTCTATAACATTCGCGGTTTCAGTTTCTGCATCGTTTTTCGAAAATGAATGTCATTTAATAGAGCTCCTTGTGAAAGAGTTGTTCTAGCGTAGTACTTTTTTAAATTTATTTCATACCATGATCCATAGTAATGTTAGTAATACAGTAATTTTTATCTTACGTGCTATGGTTAGTACTTACAATAAAAAATTACTTAATGCTAGAGAAAAGCCACGTCTAGACCATTATCCTACGCACGTGTAGTTGCACCCAATGTTGTTGGTAGTCCAGCCTGTTGGCAACAACGGCTAGTATGCTG